CAGGCCTCCCCCAAAGCCATCAGAGTCCACCCCCAGCCTTCTTCAGTGGCAGCCACGGGCAGGGTACAGGGTGCTGCCTTTCCAGCAAGGAGAAGCTGGTATTCTGAGGCCATGTGAGCATCCACCTGGCCCAGCACCCAGCAGCCCTGTCTGTATTCTCCCAGACTCTGCTGTGGTTCTTGAGGAAGGAAGTCCAGGAGAGGCTCATGTGCCATTGGAGCCCCCCGAATTGGAAGACTTCGAGGCAGCATTAGGTACAGACAGGCACTGCCAACGTCCTGACACCTATAGCAGGGTGAGTGCCATTGAAAGGGAACAGAGTACAGCTTCTGTTTCAGGCCTTCTGGCTTTGCACTAACTTGCCCTGTGAACTTGGCAAGTCTTTTCCTTGATTAAGAAATGGCCAGCTCTTCCCCAGTGTCCCTCCTGCTCAGATCATTTGAGTCTCCTCTCCATCATGGTGGCCTTTATTGTGGGACTCCTTTAGCCTGTGGAATTCTTGACTTCTCTGCTCAGCATAGGCCCAGGAAGGGTGGGGGCCATAGCCAGGGGACTGGAGGGGGTGCCAGAGGAGCCTGGTGCTTGGGTGCCTTCTAAGGATGCTTCTTTTGGATGGTCTTTGCAGTCATCCTCAGCGTCTAGCCAGGAAGAGAAGCCCCACACAGAGGAGCTGGCTGCTGGGGGCATCCCTATTGAGCGGGCCATCTCCTCCGAGGGGGCTCGGCCTGCAGTGGACCTCTCCTTCCAGCCCTCACAGCCCCTGAGCAAGTCTAGCTCCTCTCCTGAGCTGCAGACCTTGCAAGATATCCTTGGGGACCTAGGGGACAAAGCTGATGTTGGACGTCTGAGTCCTGAGGCTAAGGCCCGGTCCCAATCTGGGATCCTGGATGGGGAAGCAGCTGCCTGGTCAGCCTCACGCAAAGAGCGCCAGGACTCAGTCCCACCTGAAGGTCCCTTGCCTTCCAGTTCCCCCCGCTCCCCTAGTGGTCTTCGGCCTCGAGGCTATACCATCTCTGACTCGGCCCCATCACGCAGGGGTAAGAGGGTGGAGAGGGATGCCTTCAAGAGCAGAGCTGCGGCCTCCAGTGCTGAAAAAGTGCCAGGCATCAACCCTAGGTGGGCACCAGCCCCAAGTTGGCACCAACTCCAGAGGAAGGGGGAGGGGTCCTCTTGCTCGTGGACCCTGGGTAGAGCTGGTGGGCATGTGGATCCTCATGTCCTCCATGTGGCTGGTGGGAACCACAAGGAGGGAGGGTACTTGCCCACACAACCCAGGCCCTCCTGCTTTCTGCCCTCACTATTGCTTCCTCTGCAGCTTTGTGTTTCTGCAACTCTACCATTCACCCTTTTTTGGTGATGAGTCCAATAAGCCCATCCTGTTGCCCAATGAGGTAGGCCTGCTCTTCCTCTCCCACTGTGGGGTTGGGGGCAACAATAACCAGAGAAGTTCTAGCCTCTTGTTGTAGCAGGTTATATTCTATCTGGGTAGGGACAATCCTGAGAATTGGTGCTGGGGAGGCTGTCTAGGTTGGTGGCTGACAAGAGGGTAGTCTCCGCCCTAAACTCACTTAGGCTCTATGTGGCTACAGTCCTTCGAGCGGTCAGTGCAGCTCCTTGACCAGATCCCGTCCTATGACACCCACAAAATTGCTGTCCTGTATGTGGGAGAAGGCCAGGTAAGGCTTCTGGGCCCTGGGGCCAGCATGGGGCCCTTGGCTCCCAAGGAAGTCCTGAGGGCCTCTCCTTAGAGTTCCGTCTGTGGTGCTTTGCTCCTCTGGAGCATTGGCAGTTTATGCCCTGCTCCAGGGGCACAGCTGTGAGATGACAGGTTGACACGTAGATATGCAGAGCTGTGAGGACTGCAGGGTACAAGCATAGCAGAGTGCAAAGACCCTGGGGTGGTCCACTCTTGAGTGTAGGGGTATGGCAGGAGGTGGAGGGCCATCATGGGCACCCTCAGCCCAGTATATGACCATGGGCTGCACTTTTGTCCTAAAGTGTGGTGGAGTCCCTGGACTGTTTTGAGCCAAGAGGTTGCCACGACACCTATGTTTTGAAAGCATCCCTCTTGGGCATGGTGGCACACAGCTTTAATCCCAGCACTTGGGAAAGAGAAATAGGGGCAGATGATCTCTTTTGAGTTCTTGGCCAGCCTGGTCTACATAGCAAATTCCAGGCCAACCAGGGCTATGTAGTAAGACCCTGTCTCCAAAAGAAGGGAACAAACATCCCTCTGGCTGCTGTGTGGAGTCTTGATGGAGTTGGGTGTGGACATTCTAGATGAGGACAACAGGCTTGGGTGGGGGTGCAGGGTTGCTGAGCAGTGCTAGGTTCTGGGTGTGCTGAGGTCTTTGTTGGCTGAATGTGTGGGTAGAAGAAAGGCGGGAGCTCAGGTGACACCAGGATATAAGAACTGGGCAGCTGTAAGCATGAAGCACTGAGTGGAGACAGTGATGGCTACATTTGCCTTCCATCTACGGCAAATTGAGCTGGTACCGTTCTACTCTTCTGGCTACAGAGCAGCAGCGAGCTGGCCATCCTGTCAAATGAGCACGGCTCCTACAGGTACACAGAGTTCCTGACAGGCTTGGGCCGACTCATTGAGCTCAAGGACTGCCAGCCTGACAAGGTGTACCTGGGTGGACTGGATGTGTGTGGTGAGGATGGCCAGTTCACCTACTGCTGGCATGACGATATCATGCAAGGTATGTAACAGCCTCAAAGCGTACCTCCTGTAGGTTGGCCTGATTCCCCACCCTCTGGGAGAGGAGCTAATTGCTGTTGGAGAAGCCAAGGGAAGTCTGGTGGGTTGCAGAGGGGTCAGCCTGGGCCCCCAAACTCAGCCCTAGTTGTCCCATCCTGGCACCCAGCCCAGCGTCACCCACCCTACAGCTGTCTTCCACATTGCCACCCTGATGCCCACCAAGGATGTAGACAAGCACCGCTGTGACAAGAAACGGCATCTAGGCAATGATTTTGTTTCTATTGTCTACAATGACTCTGGTGAGGACTTCAGACTGGGCACCATTAAGGTGAGTGGGATCTCAAGTGTGCTGGGCACTCAGGGAATGCCTGAGTTCTGCCACCACCACCACCTTGGCCACTTTTGCCTGGCCTCCCAGGCTGCTCCAACCCCAGGAGACTTATCTCTCCAAGTGAATCACCTGGCTCTGCTACATTGTCTCCACTACCTGGTAGGGAGTAGGGGCTTCCTTACAAAGGTGGTGGCTGACTAGGGTAGCTGGCTTGAGCAGAGTATGTGCTACCTCTTCTGGGTTTACTACCAAAGCCTTCCAGGCTTATCAGCAGCCTAGGCCATCTGTGAAAATGTTTGCTAGTATATCTTGGGATGGCTTTGAATGTCCTAGGAAGGCTGCCCCACTTGGGAACTTCATGCGCTATGATACACTATCAGCAACACAGGGGACACCATCACATAGCCTGTTTCCCACATCAGAGTGGTAGGTGAACATGTGCCTAATAAGGTGTGTAGTGCCTAGTAGGTGCTTAGAGGGGCTTCTAAGGGCCCATCATCCTCAGCCTCTTGAGGTAGCCCTGCTAGGCCTTGTGTCCTTTGTAGAGGTTTGTCATCATTCAGCACTAATATTACCTGTGGACTCAACTTATGAACATCAGGGTAGTGGGAAGAGCCAGGCACAGTCCAGGCTGGCAGGCAGTCCAAAACAGCTCTAGGGTGTTCAGAATACACCAGAAGCCACAAAGGACACAGCAGGGCCTCAGGGTAGAGAATATGGGAGAGGGCTGGAGTTCTGTGAGGAGCCCAGGACACTAGAACACTGAGATGGGGCCCATGGGTCCACCCAGGGCAGTGTCATCCCGAGAGAACTGGGCCTCAGGATGGTTAGTGTGGCAGTGTGAAAGCCAAGCCTGATAGCTCTAGGTCCCATGGATAGACTGGATGTGGGTGTGGATAGGTACTATATACTGTGACCTTAAATGCACTAGCACTTGCAGTATTGGGGCCCAGGTACAGACTAAGTTGGGTTTAGTCAGAGATAAGGGCAGGTGGCCAAATGCTGCTCATTAAGGTGACAAGCCTTTAACAGAGCAGTGAGGTGGAGTGGCCCTCGGCACATGCTTGTGCCAGGATGATTTTCCTCTTGTCTGGTCAGGGCCAGTTCAACTTTGTCCACGTGATCATCACGCCGCTGGACTATGAGTGCAACCTGTTGACCCTGCAGTGCAGGAAAGGTAAGCCTTGGGCTGGGTGAGGTGGTAGCTGGGCCTGAACCAGGTATGAACACTGTGTCTCCCCAGACATGGAGGGCCTTGTGGACACCAGTGTGGCCAAGATTGTTTCTGACCGCAACCTGTCTTTTGTGGCCCGCCAGATGGCCCTGCATGCAAATGTGAGTGAAGGCTGCAGACTAGGGCCAGCAGGGAGATGGGCTCATAGGTACTCCTGGACTAACCATTCTTTGGGGTCCCCAGATGGCCTCACAGGTGCACCATAGCCGCTCCAACCCTACCGATATCTATCCCTCCAAGTGGATCGCCCGGCTCCGCCACATTAAGCGTCTCCGCCACCGGGTAGGGAGGACAGGGCTTCTTCTGACCAGTGATGGCTGAGTAGGGTCGGGGGAGAGTCTGGTTTGAGCAGAGTACGTACTGCCTCTTCTGGGTTCACTATCAAGGCCTTCTCTCCCCATAGATCCGTGAAGAGGTACACTACAACCCCAGCTTGCCTCTGATGCACCCTCTAGCCCACACCAAAGCCCCAGTTCCAGCCCCAGCTGAGCCTACGCCCACCTATGAGACAGGCCAGCGGAAGCGCCTCATCTCCTCTGTAGATGACTTCACGGAATTTGTATGAGGTCATCAGCACTCCTGAGGTGCCAGATCCATGCCCAGAGAGAGTCCTGTGGCTAGCCATGCCTCTCCCAGTTCCCTAACACCACCTGACTGTACTCTTACTCAAAATAAACTGTGGCCTGTGGCCATGTCCACCTGACCCCTTAGTTCTTGAAGAGGAACACAGGTAGCAGTCAGACAGCTTCTTTATTTGACTTTGTCTGTTTGGGGTTGGGGCAGGATCAAGGCTAGGGCTGTAGCCGAGCTCACAGAAGCAGTACACAAAAGGCAGCAGGCACCTCCACACACATCCTCACACGAGCAATCACATACCACTCTCACCTCACTCTGGGGGCCAGCCCCAGCAGGGGGTCTTGGCATCCTTTACCCCATACTAGTCCTGCCCTTGCCCAGACCTGATACCAGCAGGTGCTACCTTCTCTCTGCCTGTCCCAGACAAGGGAGGAAAAGAAGGCCATGGTAGCCCCAATACTGTCCAGTACCTGCCCAAGGCCAGACTCGGATCCAGTAAGTGGACACAGCTGCCCCAGTGCCCCTACCCTGGGCAAGAATGGGCACAGGGCCCAGCTTCAGCCACTAGGCCCTTCAGCCCTAGTGAAAAATAGTGACATACAAAAATATATACATTTTAACCCTGTATAAATTACTGACATACAAAGGGAATAGTGGCTGGAGGCAAGTGCACTGCAGAGACAATAGGAGAGGTAATAACTTAGGGGTCAGATGGTGGGAGGTGCAGCTTAGCCCTCTTAGCAAGGGGAGATGGCTGCCTAGGGTTGGAGCTGGGCACAGCCTGCTGTACCCAAGGACTCGGGAAATAAATTAGCATCTCGGAGGCTAGGTACTCACTCGGTCCAATACTGCTGTGTCCTCCTTTGGGGAGGGGACCCATGGTCCTGGCTGGTCACACAGCCTAAAGTGCTGAAGGCCGTAGGCAAGGCCACAATGCCTGTGCCCTAGGGAACTTGCATACAGCCATTCTGCCTAACCCAACCTTGAGGGTGGCAGGAAGTAATACTGAGTGGTGTCCACCCTGGCTCTGAGAAGCCAGGGTGAGGACACAGGTCTGCCCAGGAAAAGGCAAGGCCAAAACCCTTGGGTCTAAGTGCTGCTGGGGTGAACCTTGTTCTTGAGCCAAAGGGATACCCTGCTGGGGCCTGTAGCCTCATCTATTCCCTGACTGGCTTGGGAAAGGTGGGAGGGCATGGCTGGCTGAGAGCCTGGGGTGTAGCCAGGGGGAGGTGAGGGAGGAGGCCCACTGAGCCCATGGCCTCGAAAGCTCTGGAGCTGCTGTTCCAACTGGTAGACATCTTCTGTGGCCTGGTTGAGTCGGTCAAACTGAGCCAGCAGGGTTTCAAACACGGTGTGGAGGCGAGAGGGCTCTGGCTCCTGCCTCAGTGCTGAGCGGCTCAAGCCTGCACTCAGCCCATCTAACTGACTGGATGAGGTGGAGGGATGTGAAGCATCTGAACCAGTACTAGATGGAGGCACGACTGGGGATGACTTGGAACCTCTGGATGAGCGGGAAGGCAGCGGCTCCATTCCTTCAAAGCGGACTTTGTGGCGGAACTGGGGGCGGCACAGGGGCTCGGTCAGTCCGGCTACACCCTGGGCTCGCGAGACCCAGGGTGTGTCCCTCTCCCCCCCACTGGGCCGTACCCACCTCCTTAACTTTGCTGAAGCCCATCCAGAGCCGAAGCCTGCGCAAGAAAAGCTCCACCATCTCATAGTCCTGGGGCTCCCAGGCTGGGCGATAGAGTTCCCCACGCAAGGCATGGTACCGCCAACGTAGGAGGACAGCCCCCAGCCTTAGGGCACCCCATACCCGCAGAGCCCAGAGCCCCACACACAGAAGTGGGGACAGATACCAGGACTCTACAGGGCACAGGGTGGGGACCCTAGCCCCAGGGCACAGCACCAGGAAGGCTAGGGCCATGTTATGGAGAGTGTCAGCACTGAAGGAGATAAGCTACAAGGAAAATACAAATAAGGGCATGCCCAGGCTGAAGCCCTCCCTACCCAACCATGGGAGAGCCACCACCTACCAGAACAGCCACCTGAGCATAGGCCACACCAAGCACCACCAGGCCTAATGTGGCTCCCATGAGCTCGGGCAGGGCCCGGCACAGTGTCTTGCCGAAAACAGACCATTGGCGCACAAACCGCAGCTGTTGAGCAGCCTGCAAACAGGAGGTAGGTTGTCAGCTTGTACCAGCCAGGAGGTCAGGTCCCAGTCCTGCACCAGCTTTGCATCAACCCTTTTGGCCCTCACCTTGACCAAGAGCAGGAAGAGCAGTGAGGCTGCCAGACTACCAGCTACAGAGCCCAGTTGAGCAACCTGGTCAAAACTAGTGAAGTGGTGTGGACGGCTGTGCATGAAACGTGTCCACTGGCGGTCAGCAATTCCCAGCTGAGCCAGGCGCACTAGCCCAGTGGCTGCTGTCAGTGCTACCAGTAGCCACTGTGCCCAGGCACCAGGCTGTGCTGTTCGTGTACACCCCTCCTTGTGCCAGGTGTGCACTTCAGCCACGGAGAAGTACAGGGCAAACAGCAGCAAGCATACCTGCAGGGGGGTAGAGCCTATGAGGGATGTGGTCAAGGGTGAAAGGGCTGTGTCCAGTATCAAGCATGGTCAGATCCAGAGGGCAGGTATCAGGTGGCATACCGAGGTCAACAGTGGCAGTGACAGGCCTGTGCTAAGTCTCCGTAATGCAAATGGGCGGACACTGAAGGCAGCCAGTGCATGGCCAGCTACAGGAAACTCGAGGCGTAGTGTGACAGCAGCATGCAGCCCCACAGCAGGGCTGTAGCGGGTAAGCTCCACAAACACTGCACGGCTCCTGCATGGAGGACACAGTCAGTGGGAGGGGCCATGTGGACAAATGCATGGGATAAAGGATGGGGAATAACCATTGTACTTGGCCAGTTACACAGACTATGGAAGGAAGGGCCACAAGGGATTTGGAGCTGGGCAGGGGAAATAGTCAGCTGGGAGAGAAGCACAGAGGCCTGCCTAGGGAACAGCTGCTTACTCACTTGCGTACCAGCACCCACCTGCTGTCAAGCCAGTTGTGCAACTGCAAGAAGCCCAGCCGTTCACGGCTCTCCTCCAGACTCAGACCCAGTTCCTGCACGTAGCCACCACTGTCATAGACTGCACAGTAGCCCCAGTACCAAGTGCTGCAGAGACAGGGCAGTGTTAGAGGCTCCCCAGGCATGGGAGCACCTGGTAGGAATGCTGGCGAGGAGGCCAGGAGATCCTCTGTAGAACACTCTTACCCAAGTAGGGCCCATGCTTACCCTAGCAAGTCGGGAGTAGAGTAGGCCCATGTCTCAGAGCCATTTTGAGCCACACTCTGCCAGCCAATGCCATAGTCACTGGTGCTGAAGCTTCCTGCAGCTGAACATGTGTGCACTGGGCCGGGAGGGTCTGGACAGAGTGCTAGTAAAGCAAAGTGCCAGGGCTCAGGACATGACCATAACCCAATGGATGACTCACTGCTTAGCAGCTCAGCTGAGCTCTTGTGCTGTGACCTCCCTGAATCCTCCCAACCACCCATAAAGCATGTATCGTTATTTGTTAGAGAAAAGAAGTGAAGGCAGAAGGGACAAAGGTCACACAGCTAAACAGTGCATAAACAGCCCGGGTGCAGGTTGCCGTGGAAGGGGCAGGGTAAGCATGGAGGGCTCTCCCCAGCTCACCTTCCTGCATCCGCACCTGCCGCAGCCGTGGGGGTCCCAGTTCAGGGCTAGACTGGTTCCCGTGGATGTAGGGTAGAAACACATGGGACATCCATGGCCAGAACTCATCAGACCTGCCAGCAACAGTCACTGGGGTCAAGGCTATTATGACCAAGGAAGCGCTTCTGCTATAGCCTGAGGGGACAAGGCTGACCCCGTGTTCTCTACTCTTGGACTGCTGGCATTTGGGGCAGAAAATTGTGTCTTGATGTCATGCTCTGCACCACAGAATACTAAGCAGTATCCCAGCTATTTACCAGATACCTTAGCATATGCTGGTCTTGACAATCAAACAAGTATCTAGATCAGGGATGTCTGGGCCCCACAGGGGTCTCCAATCTGTAGTTGCAGGCTGTAAGAGCATACATGTTTATTGTATGTGACACTGTGATGTGATGTTGTCACCTATGGAGTTCATGCTTGATAACTGTATAACTGAGTCACAAAAAAAATGTAAAACTTTATATTTGCAATGTAGGGTTTTGTGTTGGGCCTCGTTCATAGCTATCCTGGGTTGCATGTGGTTCACAAGCCGTGGAGTTGGACACCCTTGATTCTAGACACTTCCAAATGTTCACTAGATGCTGGGCAGGACTAAGGGCAAAACCAAAGTGGGCCCTGGTAGGTATCAGTGCCACCCTAGCCCAATGCATGGGTGTGTATATCCTGGCGTGTCCCTACCGGGTGATGGCCAAAAAAGCTTGGTTATCCAGCTCCTGCTTGATGGCACTCTGCAGGCGATAAGCATGACCATGGCACGAGGCATCCCCATAGTTGGCCAGCAGCGTCACCAGTAAGAAAAGCATGTACACCAAGAGGCTCTGGGGAATAGGGATAGATTGTTCTGCGGTCAGCTGATCTCAACCCACAGTGCCAGGACAGGGTTTGGGGACTTCCCAAGATCAGGGTGTCTGCATTAAGGAATGGCAGCACAGACCCTCCAGAGGGCAGAGACAGGCCCTGAGAACTAAGACAGCTGTGCTCAGTGCCCTCTAAGATCAGATGGGAGTGGGGACTTGAGATGCACGGTAACACAAATGGGGAGCTACAGGTATAAGAGATGATAGTAGAGGGCTGGAGAGATGGTTCAGTGGTTAAGAGCACTGGCTGCTCTTGCAGAGGACCCAGGTTCAGTTCCCATCTGGCATCTAACAATTGTCCATAACTCCAGTTTCAGGGGGATTCAAAGCTATCTTCTGGCTTCCATGGGCATTGCACAATTGGTACATTTACATGTAGGCAAAACACTCACATATTAAATAAAACACATAAAATTAAGAGTTGTGGGAGGACAGGAGTTATAGAACCCTGAATGCTCACTGGAGGCCTGATCAGAAGAGGAGGAAGAAGTGGGAGATGAAGAGTGGGCATTGCTTGTGGCAAGAGCTCACCTTCAGCATGTCATGCAACCTCTTGACCTTTCGGGCTTCCTCTTTGGCCAGGAAAAGAGCAAAGCCATGGGGGGGTCGCACACGGGGCACCCGCTCACTCACAGGTGTCACAGCTGGGCTCTCTACCAGAGTGTCATCTTCATCAGGGTATAGCCGCTTGGCCACCAGTGAAAAGTAGAGGGCTTCCAGCAGGACCTGGGGTGGCAGAGGTATCAGCTGGCAAGCATGAGACTGGTAGCCTCCCACCCCTCTAAGAAGCCCTCTAACCTTAAGGGGCTCCCAGCCAAGGAATGAGGCCAGGAAGCTGGAGCTACTTGAGAGAAGCCACATGACGCTCACGCTGGGGGGGAAGCTGGCACCAACCCACCCTGAGACCCCTACGGCCATGGCTATCAGGAGCAGGCTGAGCCCATGGGCCAGGGGGGCACACCAGGTAGGCAGCAGTCGCTTCTGAAGGCCTTCTGGCAGTCCTGGAAAGACACAGACAGCTGCATGGCTGGCAGCCCAGAAAGAGGGCCAGGGAGGGACATCCTGCTCTTTAAGCCTACCTGTCCTGGAAAGCCTTGTCACTGGCAGCTGTTCCCAGGTCAGGCCTTGGTTTAGCAGCCTCTTCTCCCCCAGTGTCTGCAGCATCAGTGTCTCTGTTTTCTCCCCAGGAGCACTGGACCTGGGGACAGGGCAGGGCCATGAGTTTTGTGCCTACTCCCAGGAAGAAGAGACAGTGGCATCAGCTTGAAATAATCTGGGGGAAGTTCCATCAGCATCTTGGAATGATGCTGGGCATTCATGACACTGTGGTCACTCTCCCCCTTGCTGTCTCATACAACCCACTACGCCAAGGGCTCAACTAGTCCTCACCTTGTGTGTTCTGTCCTAGCATGACCCTGTATCCCTCCTCCAACCTCTTCACACCAACTACACAGGACTGTTCCAAACCTCTCAGTACACTCCCCAAGCCCTGGTCTGCAGAATGAATGCTCAGAGCCACATACTCCTGTGTAGTTGTGGCCTAAAACTAACTTTGGACAACGAGAGGCAAAAACATCTTTCAGACCCCAATAGAACTCAGAGTTCCATGGGATCCAAAGATCTCCTTGTTCCTAAAGAGTCTCTGGCCAGAATAAATGATGGAGGCCATGAACCACCCTGATCTTCCCAATTTTCCTGCCATGAGAGAATGACCAGAGGCAAAAGGAAGAGAGGGTAAGAGGCAGAAAGGAAATGTGAGACTTCCATGCTGTCTGAGCAGAAAGTCTCCATGCTTACTGGTGTTTTCTGTGCCTCAGGGGCTCTAACTATATGACCTACACCTGCCACTGAGTCTTACCAGGTGTTTTCAGATCTATGCTGCTCAGGGAGTAAAGGCCATGGTTTATCAAGGCAGGTAACTCGAAGAACAGCAAATAAATGGAAATAATGGCTTTTCTTAAAATTGACTTTGCTGAACATAAAAGTCATATAAAGTATTTAGCAGAGTTTAAAAATATCGAGGACATTTACTATTAGCATTCCTGTCCAATGAGGAACATTAATAGTTCTGTGTGGTCATCTATAGTGTGTATGTGAAGACAAAAACCCACCAGGACCATGCACGGCACGGCACGGCACGGCACAGGTTTTCATCACACTTAGCTACACAAGTAGGAGCTGTGCCTGTGACTATTCAATCAGTCACCAGGAGTGGCTCCATCCTTGACTGGAAGCCAGGACCATTAGAGACCCTGGCTACGTGATGGTGAAAAGAACAAAATACTTGCACTTGGTGTGCATGGCCCACCAACAGCAGTAGTATAGGGCAGGCCTGGAGAGGGGTGGCACGTAGGAATATACACTTGAGTACACATTGGTAGACCAGGTGGAAGACAGGCTAAGCGCAAGCCACATCAGAGCAAAGACTTAAAGGAAGAGGCACATAAGACACCTCTTTGAGGAAAAGAACCCTGGACAGGAGTAGCAGATGCAGAAAGCAGACATTGGGGGAGTGGTGTGTTGAGGGGTGGAGTAGCAGAACCTATATTTTAGCTCTGGATAATACCAGGACTGCTCCAGGCTGGGAGGCCACCTCCAGGATAGCCCACAATAATGATACCCTTGGCATTATGCCCCTGTGTAGTACCCTTCCAGAGTAACTGAGAGGACTCTGTGGAAACAACAGGGTGCCACTAACAGGGATGGTAATAATAAAAGATACTGGTTCCTGCCCTGCTTTGAATGACCACTCACTCCTAGGGGACACTGACCACCAATGGCTGTCAGTCCTGTGGTAAGACTGACATGGGAGCTGGGCATGATGACACATGCCTTTAATCACAACACTCAGGAGGCAGAGGCAGGCAGATCTCTGAGATTGAGGCCAGCCTGGTCTGCATACTGAATTCCAGGCCAGCTAGGGCTACAGGGAGAACCTATCTCAAAAAAGACCATAAGAAGGGATGGAGAGATGGCTCAGTGGTTAAGAGCACTAGCTGCTCTTACAGAGTACCTGGGTTTGAGTCCCAGAACTCATATATATATATGTATGTATGTATAATGTATTAGAAAAAAAGACTGACATAGGAGGAACTTAAGCCTCCTGCCAACAGTTCAGTGCTGTCACTTTAATCACCAAGTACTAGGCACTGTAGTACACAGTGAGAGAATAGCCCTGGGGATGGTCCATGCAGAAGAGGGTTTGTGATGAAGGCACACCTGGGAACACACCAGCCCCTGCATTTGGAAGGAAGCTGAGAGATTTGTTGAGGGCTCATGGGGAGGAATGATGCCAAGAAGGGAGTCAAGGAGCCTGATACTTCTGTCTCAGTCAACTAGAGCAGGCCTCTGGGGGAAAGAACACCCCTGGGGGGCTCAGCCCTAGATTGAATCTGAATGGTGCAGCTGTGGGAAAGCTTTAGGTGGTGAGTTGGTGGCTCTCCTGGGTATTTCCTATGTCATAGCTCTCTCTAGTAAACCCCTCCTACCATGGTCAAGTGATTCAGGAAAACTCCCTTTTTGTATTCTGATATAGTTCCTAACTCAGAAATTTCTAGTAGCTTGAAATTTAGAATAAAGGGGCTGGAGTGATGTCTCAGTGGTTAAGAGCACTGACTGCTCTTGCAGAGGACCCAGGTTTGATTCCCAGCACCCACATGGCAGCTACAAACCATCCTTAACTCCAGTTCCAGGGGAATCCGAAGCCCTCTTCTAACTTCTGCGGCATTGCACAACACAGTGCACTCACATACATGCAGGCAATACACTCATACACATAAAATAAAAATATTAAAAAAAATTTAGACTAAAAAGAAATGAAAATGTGATAGTGAAATAGATATGAACAAGAAAGAGTACATAAATCTATGTGAACCTCTGTCACTAAATTGGGGAACAAAAACCCCCAAGAAATTGGTTCTTAAGTGTTCAAATAGTCAAAACAGTTTCAAAATGAAAATGAGATATTTAAAAAATTCTCCATGATTTCTCACAGTTTTGAGACCAAAATAAAAGTTCTTTCCTGCTTACATAGTCTCAAAAAAACTAGGATGTGGTGGTGCATACCTTTAATCTCAGAACCCAGAAGGCAGAGGCAGGTGGATCTCTGTGAGTTTGAGGACAACCTGCTCTACATAGTTAGAGACCAATCAAAGCTACCCAGTGAGACCCTGTGTCAAAAACAAATCAAATAAAACAAAATTACTTCCTAGACCAAGCTCCCAAATACATGCTAGTTGCCTCTCCATTCATCAAATGCTCCATGCCACAGCTGTTTCCCTAAAGGGAAGATATGCTGAGGCCCTGGGGATTCTATGAGCTCCCTCCATAGATGGAAAACTGGAGGTTCAGAGCAGTCAAGCAACATGGGCACATCCAGGAAACAATCTATCAAGGTGAGCATAGGGCCCCTTAGTCTGGGCTGGGCCCTGCCACCCCTACCCCAAACACACTCTGCTCCCTCTGCCCCAGCCAGGCACTCACAGGCTGGAAAGCAGGTCTGCTTCAATGTGGGTATCCTGGGTGGGAGCCAGGTTGCTGGCTCCATTGGCCAAGACTTGCCGGATTAGGTCTTCATCTAGAAAGAACAGAAGTATTGGGGTGGCTTGGCACCTGGCACCATGCATTCTCTTGGAGCTTCATCCCTACCTCCCACCATGGCTCACCTGATGCTGATAAATACTTGGCAGGCGAAGATGGGCAAACCAGAGATAGGCCATCTTCTTCTGGGCCCAACATGTGGCCCTGTGCCAACCGTTGCAGAGTACTGCCCACGATGGATGGGTCACTGAGCAGGTCTGGCCAACTGAGAGTGCCTTCACTGGATGGCCAGCACAGCAGGCTATGGATGACATAGGCATCATTACATGTATCTGACTTAAGCCTAGTCACACAGCTCCAGGAAGCATCAAGCACAAGAACATGACAGCTTCTGAAAAGCCCCACTCCTGGGACCATGTGTGACAATACCCAAAGACTGCTAAGACCAGATAAGGACACATGCTCAACACCCCAACATGGCCCACCAGGAACTGCTGACCTAGGCCAAAGCTCAGTTTCTCTAGGCAGCCTCACCTTTTAGCGTCTTCTAGAAATAAGTCATTCTTCACTCGCCCAGGGAAGGCCTGCTGAGAAGGGAAAAATGCCTTGGTGTAGCAGCAGCAGCAGCAGCAGCAGCAGCAGCAGCAAGGAGTGGTAACAGCCCAACCAGCCCCAGCTGGCCCATCATACCCTGGAACCCCTGGAAGAGCCCTCACCTCTGTGTGGAGGCCAGAGACTGTGAGGAAGGAGCTGTCTAGTACAGACGGGTCCAGGTAGCTGTTAATGTCCAGGGCCTGCTGCCCTGTGGGCATGGGGATTTGGTCCCCAGTCACCTGCGAGGAGAGGGCAGACAGTCAGCAGGTGGAGCTCTGGCCCCTGCTGAGGGCCACGAGAAGCAATCTCCTGGGGCTGGAGGCATGGCTCAATGTAGAGCACCTGACTAGCATGGACAAGGCCCTGAGTTCAATCTATAATGCCCAATACCTCCTGAGCAAACATGAAGGTCTAGACTAGAACTAAGAAAATGTTCTAGAATGATAGGCGTGGTCAAGAACTGCAGTCTTTCATGATAGACTTTGGCCAGGTGTTACTTTTAAGCATTTAACGTGGCTGGTGCTACTAAAGAAATGAAACTTTGGAGGCTGGGGATGTGGCTCAGTAGTTGCCTAGTACGTACACAGCCCTAGATTCAATCCCTAGCACCATCATCAAAAGAAAAAAAAAAGAAACCTTTGATCGTACTTAATTCTACCTAATTTAAGCATACATGTAAACAGTTCATGTGTCTCCTGGTCATAGCACTGGACCCCTGGGGTACATCCTCCTTTGTTACAGGTACAGTCCTTTAAGTGCTACAAACTCAGTTTACCAGCATGCTTAAGGGATTAGGACACAGTGAAGAACTGATGAATGGAGGGGCAACTAGCATGTACTTGATGGGGGCTTGGTCTGGGGAAGAATTTTGTGTTTTGTTTGATTTGTTTTCAAGACAAGTTCTCACAGTGTCCTCAGTGTCCTAAGGGACACTGATCTCTTTTTTTTGTGACATCTCTGTCTAGTTGTGGTGTTGGACAGTGCTAGCCTCGTGGAGCAATTAGGAGTGTCTCTTCCATTTCTGGGAAAAGTTGAAGGACTGTTACTTTTCAGCCGTTGGTAGAACTCAGCACGGATGCCACAGCCTGATTTTTGTGAAGATTCTGAATGCATAACTCAGGCTACTTGAGTTGTCTCTTTTTGAATTTTTGGCAGTTTGTCTTTCTAGCAATCAGTTGCTACTTCTATATAGCCTAACTCAAGGCATTTGCTTCCAAGTCCAGTCCACCTCTTGGAGTGGACCATGATGTCCCCTCTCATTCAAGATTTGACAATTTGAATCTCTTTCCTTTTGGTCAACTTAGCCGTAGATGACCAAAATGGCTTGCAGCTTCTGTCAATCCTTTCAATGGACTTTTGTTTTTTAACATTTTATTTTGTCTTTTTTTTTTTTTGAGACAGGGCCTCCCTGTAGCCCCAGCTGGTCTGGAACTCACTACATAGACCAGGCTGACCTTGAACTCACAGAGATTCACCTGCCTCTGTCTTCCAAGTGCTGGGACTATAGGCATGTGCCACCACGCCCAGCTTACTTTTATTTATTGTTTTTATTATTAGTTTATGTTTATGAGCGTTTCGCCTGCATATAAGTGCATGCAATGCCCCACAGAGGCCAGAAGAGGGTGTCGGATCCTCTGGAACTGGAGTTACAGTTGTTGGCTGCCATGTGGGTGCTGGAAATTGAACCTGGGTCCTTTGGAAGAGTAGCCAGTGCTCTTAACTGCTGAGCCATCTCTCCAGCCCCCAAAGAATTGTTTTTGGTTTGTAGATTTTCCTCTGGCAGACAATACAAATCACACTCCATCCCAGAGCTCTGAGGCCCTCGCCCAGCCCACCTTGCTCCGAGACATCCGGAAGAGGAACAGGACAGCCAGGTAGACAGGGTAGACCATCACACTAGACACCAGACCAATGGCAACAGTGTCAACACTTGGTGGAATTAGACTGGATACAGGCCCCATACTGTTGTGGGAGAGAAAAGACAGGCTGGGTTAGGTGGAGGATCAACTGGAAGTCAGTCAAGAGACCACCAGACCACTTAGGCACCCACCTGTAAGTGGCATCTCCCACAACTCCGTACCACACAGCATTGGCAACCAGGAAGAGGCAAAGGAGGAGGACACAGCAGGTGGCTCTCTGGACTCTAGTGAAGCGGCTGCGAGGTGGCCGGTCCCATATAGAGAGCCAGATGTGCTTGTCAAAGAAGCCTCGTTGCAGCTCGGCCACTAGGAGGCGTCGGAACTGCCACAAGGCAGTGTCACCTAGAAGGGTTTAGGAGGGTTACAGGAAAGAAGAGCAGGGATGCAGGGTTAGCATCTCCTCCCACCTGCAGGTGGTGGCCTTACTTGCTGCTAGCACCTCCTTCTCTACCAGGCCCCCGTTGGCCTCAGTCTCCACAGACAGCCAGTCATTGACCAGAAAGAAGGTGCTGCGGGCACTCTGAAGGTCCCGGATGATGATGTGCTGTAGGAACCAGGCGGGGCTGAGCCCTGTAGAGGGAGGGACCTAGGTAAGGCCTGCAGCAGGTTGGCAGGGTACAGGAGTGGCGACAGCCCCCACTCAGACCTTTGTTATCATGCCACACTCGGATTTTCCACACACTGCCCAAGCTGTATGGGGTTGCAATCTGGAAGATGTCCAGGCTGTTGCGATGGAAGGCTCTGTCCCCATCCAGGTGCCGGTGGCCACTCCGGTTGTCTTCCCCATACAACATGATACCCACATGGGCCGTGGTGCCTAGAGGGTGGAGCGCTCTTGGTTTGCTGCTTATCATATACAGAAACGAACCTGAGTCATTCTGTCTACCAACCTTCATTCATTCAACAATACAGGTAGTCCTTAGCTTTAAACAGGTTTTAAAAAAATTTTACCATCCAGGCATGGTGACACACATCTTTAATCCCAGCATTCAGGAGGCAGAGGCAGGTGGATCTCTGTGAGATTGAGGCTAGCCTGGTCTACACAGCAAGTTTCTGGCCATCTGGGAGACCCTGTCTCAAAATGACAAAAAAAAAAAAATTACAGTAATGGGGATTGAACCCGGGACCCTGTACATGCTATGCAAGTGCCCCATATCTGAGTTCCATTCCCAGTCCCTTTTAAATTTTTTATTTTAGGACAGAGTCTCACTAAATTGCCCAAACTGGCCTGGAATTTACCCTGTAGTCTAGGAAGCTCTGAATTTGTGATCTTCCTACCTCAGTCTCCCAAGTAGCTGGGATTACAGGCCTGTACCACCAGGTCCAGCTCACATAGTTCAAACAGGCACAAATTCCAGTTTCCTCAATTTGTTAAAAAACACTAACAGCAGGGTGTGGTGGCGCACGCCTGTAGTCCCAGCACTTGGGAGGCAGAAGCAGGCGGATCTCTGTGAGTTCAAGGCCAGCCTGGTCTACATAGTGAGTTCCAGGACAGCTGGGGCTACAAGGAGACCCTGCTTCAAAAAGACAAAAAAAAAAAAAAAAAAAAAAAACCCAAAAAACCCACTAATAACATGGCTTCCATTAGCCACAGTATGTGTGCTGAGCTCAGGAGACCATGTGATGTTACCACGTGATAGGATACATATCATGCCAGTGACGAGGTACCCTATTTGCAGTTCGGTCACAGTGACTACCAGCTGTGTTGGGCAGTCTCCTCTCTAGTGATAACCCACATGGACAAGATGAGACCCTGGGTCCATCCCAACTACCCATAAATAAAAAGAGCAAAAAGTGTTAACACTGGAAGCAAAATTAGCATCAAAGGTAAACAAAGTTGTTGAAGTAAGAACTGTTTGCCTCTCATCAGAAGACTTTTGCCAGGTTTGGTGGCTCACACGTTAAATCACAGCATTTGGGAAGCAGAGGCAGACAGATCTCTGTGAGATCAAGGACAGGCTGGTCTACATAGTGAGTTCTAGGCCAGCTGAGATTACAGGAAGACCCTGTCTCAAAAAAAATGAGAGAGAGAGAGAGAGAGAGAGAGAGAGAGAGAGAGAGGCAGTGAGAGAGAGACTGAGAGAAAGACTGTTGTCAGAATAAAGGGGTGGACTGCTTGCTTTTGGAAGCTTTTCTGAGCAGTGTGAACATGTTTGCTCACTCTGTACCAGAAGTCAGTGGAGAAGGCAAACATGTTCACATTGCTCAGAAATGTTTTGTTTTGGGATAGGATCTATGCAGCCTAGGCATGTGAACTTTAAATTAAGGCATCCCAGGAAAATATCAGTGCATTTTTTTTATTTTTGAGACAGGGTCTCCCTGTAGCCCCAGCTGGCCTGGAACTTGCTACATAGACCAGGCTGGCCTCAAACTCACAGGGATCCATCTGCCTCTGCCTTCCAAGTGCTGGGATTAAAGGCGTGCGCCACCATACCCAGCCTCAGTGCATATTCTTATTTTGTTGATTTATAACCAACAATGAGGATTTTAAAAAATTGTTTCATTTTTTAGCCGGGTGTGGTGGTGCACACCTATAGTCCCCAGTACTTGGGAGGCAGAGGCAAGCGGATCTCTGTGAGTTCAAGGCCAGCCTGGTCTATATAATGAGTTCCAGGCCAGCTGGGGCTACAGGGAGACCCTGTCTTAAATAAAACAAAAAAATAAAAAAATAAGGTGGAGAAGGAATGAATTTTATGGGTGTTTTGCTTGTATGTAAATAACTGTACCATGTGCATGCCCTCAGGGGGCAGAAGAGGGTGTCAGAGCTCCTGGAAAATGCTCTTAACCACTGAGCTATCTCCCTAGTCCCAACAGTGAGGATTTTTTTAAACACTTATGGGGCGGGGAGCATATGTGCCATGACATGCTTGTGGAGGTCAGAGGACAACTTGTAGGAGTCAGTTCTCTTCTTCTTCCACCATGTAGTCAGGCTTGGCAACAAGTGCCTTTACCCACTGACTTATCCCACTAGTCCACACTAACACTGAATTTTTTGTTATTTTTTTGAGACAGTGTCTCACTAACCATAGCTAGCCTGGAACTCACAGAGATCAGCCTCCCCTGCCTCTTGGGTGCTGTAATTAAAAGTGTGCACCACGATACTTGGCAATTTTTTTAAATTTGATTTTTTTTTACTGCACTTTATTTATTTACTCTGTGTGTGTGTGTGTGTGTGTGTGTGTGTGTGTGTGCACATGTGCTGGTGTGGAGGTCAAGGATATCTGTTCTCTCCTACCATGTGGGTCCCAAGACTCAAACTTACATTATTAGGCTTGCTGGCAAGAGCCTTTACCCAGTGAGCCATACTGCCAGCCCCAACAGTGAGTTTAATGTTTAAGAATGAACATCAGCCAGGCATGGTAGCATACGCCTTTAATCCCAGCACTTGGGAAGCAGAGGCAGGTGGATCTTTGTGAGTTTGAGGCCAGCCTGGTCTACATAGTGAGTTCCAGGACAGCTGGCTCTACAAGGAAATCGTTTCTCAAAAAAAAAAAAAAAAAATAGTGGTGCGGTGCACACCTTTAATCCCAGCATTTGGAGGACTGAGGCAGGCAGATCTCTGTGAGTTCAAGGTCAGCCTGGTCTCTGCTCTATATAACAAGTTCCAAGGCAGTCAGGACTAAAAAAAAAAGTTGCTGAACACAACGGTGCAGTTTGCACTTACATCTGGCCCATGCCACTGTGGAGTGAGGAGGGCCAACCTGGCCTACTCTCTCAGAAAGACAATGCTCACAAGGTCCTTGGAAGATTAATTGCTAACCCTTTAGCTTCTCTAGTCTGTGGTCCCTGGGGCCTTGTGCATACTAGTTGGGTGCTTTGCCACTGAGCCACACCTATAGCCCCCCCATCTGTTTTGTCTTCTGTTGCTGTTTCCTTGCTTTTAAGCCTTTATTAATACAGCATTTGGAGAACTGAACACTTTCAGGGTAGAATCCATGTCCCCACCCCTAGCCACCCTGCTCCTCACCTGAGCCTCGGCCCCAGCCAGTCTTGACCAGGATTTCGTATTTGAAGCGGCCCCCCTTCCCACAGAATGGGATGACGCGGACTCGGCGAACATCCAGCTGGTCCATCTTGCGTAGGATCACAGCCATGACTGCATAGGTCACCAGGCATATGGAACACGTCAGCAGGACAATGTAGTTCACACTCGTAGGTGGCTTCTAGGAAGACAGAGTCATCAGGCCCAGGTGATCACTCACACAGCTTGTCTTTGAAGGATGGAGCTGGAGTGCCCTAGGCTCTCCCAATCTGACAAGAGATCTAGGAACAGTGGTACCACTCACAGGAAAGACGAAGTGGACATGACTGGGGGGCACGAAGAGGCTGGCACCAAAGGCGGTGAGGTGGCGGGTGAGGCAGACGGCCTGGTTGGGTGAGGTCTCCTCCAGGGGCACAAGCCCCTCAGTCCTCCACATCATCTTCTCCTCACTGAAGTACTGGCACAGGGATGTGTACAGGCCCACAGATACTTCCAGTGCCGACCAGTGGAAATGGCTGGTCAGATTCAGGTAGTAACTCCCACCCAGGGCCCCAGTCCTGCAAGGGACAGGACAGTATCAAAGTCAGACTCAGAGACCCTAAGTGCCAAATGCCATGCTCAGCCTTCTTGTTGCTTTGGTTCCTACAAAACCCACAGGCCCATGGCTAATGCAAACCAAGCTGCATTCACCCTTGTCCCCTCCTCTCCTCCTCTCCAACTCCCATTTCTGAAGTCCAGATGGGAGGCACTCACCCTGGGGCAATGAAGAAGGTATAGGGCCTGTGATCAGCACCCTGAAGCACTTCCAGGCTAATCCTCCTGCTAGCTGAGCAGTTGTACTCATTGGGCTGGGACACTGAATGTAGGTAGACAGCCAGATAGGGCTCAGGCTCCTCAGACAGGTAGTGTTCTAGGGGTGGTATGAACAGTATCACATACCTACTAGGAACCTTGCTGCCCTGCAAGCTGTTGCCATGGGACCTGGGGGGCTATCTAAGCAGAAGATCATGGGAACTTCCACACAGGGACCAAGATATGCTTCTCTGTAGCCATGCAAATACATCATAGCCAGGCTCTCAGGACCAGAAACTGCAAATTTGGTGGTATCTGCATAAATGCCTCCTCCCCAGGGTCAAGGTTGGAAGAAAGGTTATGTGCTCACCCCTGGTACCCACCATCAAGCACTGTGTAAGTAATCCACATATGCAGTCCAGCTTCAGGGTTGTTGTTGTCTGTAGTGACCGTGGCACTGACTGAGGCTTGGGGCTGGACAATGGCAGAGCCCACAGGGGTGCGGGAGCCCTGGATGGCCTGGTCCGAGTTATTGGGCACCTTCACTGTGATAGCACGCTCTGTGGCCAGCTGCTCAATGGGAATCTGGGTGCCAGCCTGTGTCTGGAATGCCATAGAGGCCACTTTGGTGGAGACGGTATAGTTGCTGATGTAGCCAAAGGGAAAGGGGTTGGAGTCCACAAGGAAGATGAGTTGCACCACATCACTGAGGTTGGACAGGGCCCCACTGAAGGCCTCAGGGATAGAGAAGTGGCAGCCGGGCCCTGAGATTTTGCCATAACATAGAAGGCTGAGTGGGTCTGAGCGCTTGCCTAAAGCCATGATTTCTTCACCTGCCAGGGTCAGAGGCTCCTCATTTAGCACACGGGAACGCATGAGGATGCACATGAGAGCTGACGAAAGGTTGTAGGCCTTGGATGCCACCATCAATGAGGGTGGCTCGGGCCCCAATTGTGGGCCCTGCATGTCCGAGCTGGCTAGGTGGATGAGGTCACCTGGGACAGGCACAAAAGGTGGGACATGTTGAGAAGAGGCTGCAAGAGCTGGTGGGGAGGCTGGAGGGTAGGGGGCCAGCTTGCCCACCTGTGATATTGAGGATACTGTCAGCAATGGTGGTAGGCGTCACAGTACCCTCAGTGGTTTCAGCTTGCAGGATGTGCATCATGCCCTCAAGCTTCTGCAGCATCCTTTTCAGGCATGAGCGGCACATGAGCTCCCTGCTAGACACCTGTGAAGAGAGTCCCATATGGGTGGCTTCCAGACCCACCCCACAGTGCACAGCCTCATGGCATCTGCAGTTCCCTCCCCTATCACTCAGCAGCTCCGCCTTCTCACCCTGGCTAGAATGCCAGGTAGCTTTTTGCCTCTGACCAGCTCTATGCTGGACCATCTGCCCAGATGTGAAGTTACCCTGCCTTCCTGAGTGAGCTCTTCTGTGGCTCCTCCCAGTCTAAGGGGAACAGCCAAGCTCTTCCTGGGGCCTACATACTGACCACCCAAGCTATCTGTTCCCATTGCTAAGAGCAAGCCAGATGTCCAGGTCCTCATACAGGTCAAATTTAGATACACCCCCTTAAGGCCACAGAAGCCACAAGGTGATCTCCATACAGACCTCTCTGTACCTTATCCTCTGAGGACTTGGCTCTGCTCTCCAGGCTCCTATACTTATCCCCACCCTGACTCAGTGCCTATCAGATGTGGCTTACTTGGCTCACAAGTCTACAATTTGGACAATGAACACTGCAAAGGCTGGTAAGGCCACATCAGGTAAGCCTGTAAGTGGGGTATGACTAGAGGCCTGACAAGAGGGCTCACATACCTGGACTGCTCTTTCCACCCTGGACCACCCTACAGAGTCACCAAAGGAGAATGTGGGTTCATCCTGGGAGGCAACAGTGAGGCTGCCGAGAACTGGCACAGCCAAAAAGAGTTCCTGGCCTAGAGGTCCTGTCTATGCTGCATAGGACCTGTGTATGAAGGGCAGGCTATACTTGGCTGTCTTACCATACACTGGGCCAGTGCAGCAGTGATCTGCTGGATGTCATCCACGGTGTTGACCCGCAGGGAGACCAGGGTCTCTGTGATGTTCTTGCGCATCTGGGCTCGCAGCTGCCACTCATGCTTGGACTCTGCCACATCTTGGACCTGCTCATACTTGGGTAGGTGAGAAGCATAGGAGAGTCATAAGAGGCAGGACAGGCCTCCTCCAGAGGTGTTGGGAAGGGTGCTTAAATGCAGTTACAGTGTATGGGAAGGGTTTTAAGGACATGAGTTGTTTTTTCAAAGACAATACACAGGTCTCAGGGAATTAAGAGATCACCATGGGCAAGCTGCCATGGGAAGGGCCAATATGTGGTGGCTGCTGAGGGTAGGATTCAGCATTCAAAGACATCAGGGAACTTTTATGTGTTTGGGGTGTGTGGTTTCAGCCCATTCATGGAGCAGATGTAAGGGATCCCTCTCTGTCCACCTGCACTGACCTCATTGAGCACAGTGATGAGGGCCAGAGAGTATTCAATGACATGCTGGGGGTCAGCCTGCCTTAGTAGTCCAGGCAGCACACTGGCGGTCAGGCTGTGCAGCCAAGGTATGAGGTCTGCAGGACTACCATTGGGCTCTGGCAGGACAATGGGCAGAGACCTGCAGGGTAAAAGTAGACCATAAGCAGGTGATGGTCAGCCTGTGTCCCCTCCCCAGATTCCAGCTTACCTGTTGAGTGCAACCACAGCAGCACCCAGCTGGTCTTGTACAACCACAGCCAGGCCCACCTCAAACAGGGGTTGAAAGCCGGGTGGCAGAACAGCCCCATAGGTGGAGAGGCTACCCTTGTAGATGCAGAAATCCTCGCAGTAGTTCTGGCGACAGCGCCGCAGCAGTAGTGCATATACCAATGGGGCACCACCATCCTCAGCATCATGCCAGCCTGTGTATGGGCAGCATCAGCACAGAGCCCAAGCCCAAACCAGCCTCCCTGGGAAGCCCACACTCACCTGTACATTCAAAGTGCACTTTGGTGGTAAGGCCATGTACAGCATCCAATGGGAAGAGGCGACAAGAGCCTCCAAGTGGAGGGCGGTTAGGTGAGAGGCGGATGGAGGCACAGCCCTCCTCCTCACCTGAGCGGCCCAGCACAGTGAGCGTGAAGATGTAGCCCTCCCCATCATGTAGTGCACCCTGTCGTACCACCAGCCTCATGCCAGAGCTACCCGTGGATGTTGTTGTCTCATCTAGCACCAGTGTCTTGTTGCTGAAGGTTCGTGCTGCCCAACGCTGCAGGATGGAAGCATGGAGGCTGTGGTAAGGATGGTGCCCTAGCCACCTGTACAGGAGAACTTGCTGTATGCCTGTTACTCACCCCTCGCTTGAAGCCACTGCTGCAGTTGTGGCAGCGGCCCTCCAGGTATACATAAGAACTGTGGCTCACTTCATATACTGCCTGTGCCTTACAGGACACACATTCCAGGGACACAATGGGTACCCGACCACTCCGGATCAGCACCTGAGAGGGACAAGAGTGTCACAAGGAGGCCTTGCCTTCTGTGCTGCACATGTGCGGGGAAAGCTTTCTTCATGCCATTTCTATTAAGCCCAAACTTTAGGTTATCTACATCTGGGCTGGGCTAAAGTGTAAAACTCAGAAGGGTTTGCCATCTGCAGTCAGTCTGGGATCCTGCTGGCCTGGCAGTAGGAACATGGGATGGTGCATGGATAAAGGTACTCTGGTAGGCAGGGGACAGTAGTCCTCTATGTAGACCTGTCCCAGAGGTGCCAGCTACCTTGAGTGGGGCCCAGGTCAGCTTAGCCAGGTGTGACTTGCCAAGTACCATCTTCCCCAGATGACCTCATTCAGTAGGACCCTCTCCAGATAGGTGACATGAAAGACTTGGTGTTGGGGAGACAATGCCATCTGAGGCACCAGAATACAGCCTAGCAGCCCACAATGGCATGATCCATCCCTTATCATCAGAAGTGGCTATAACCTGAACAGAGGTGTCAAAGAACTGCTCACCTTCTAAACAGCTCAGGGCAGAAATGTGATAGCAAGAACTGACTCATTCTACCCAGAAGCAAAGGCATACTATGGGGACAGGCATTGCCTCCTAAGTAGGAAAAGGACTTGGTTTCTCACTACTTATCTTTCATGCTGGTGGTATAAAGTTCAGTTTTAAAATTTTATTTATGTGTATGAATGCTTTGTATGTATGTTAAGTGCACACATTATGCAATACCCATGGATGTCAGAAGAGGGCGTTGGATTCCCTGGATCTGGAGTTCTAGACAGTTGTTAGCTGCCATGTGAGTGTTGCGAACTGAACCCAAGTCCTCTGCTAGAGCAGAAAGTGCTGAGTCATCTCTCCAGCCCCTCTTTTTACAAATCACATTGTATAGTTTTGGGTTTTTGACACAAGATTCACTATATTGCCAAGACTGGCCTAGAACTCATGATCCTCCTGCATTTCCCTTCAAAGTGTTAGGATTATACAAGTGTGTACTGCCATGCCCACCTCCCCCAAGACCTTATGCTGATTTTTCAGACAGAAGCACTGCTGAGTTTGATTGATTACCAAAATCAACACCAGGTTAGAGAACTCACAGTCCTTGGGGGGTACTGCAGGAGTGACTCTGACAGAACCCACAGTGGAACAAGTACTGTCTTGGCATAGGGCCCTGCTGGGGTGGGGACAGCACCTACCGTCTGGTTGGTGGCCTCCTCCTTCCGGCCTGCCTTCCACACAGTGAGGTTAAAGGTGTATTCCACACCAGCCTCCAGGCGCTCCATAGGGATGGTGACCATGCTGCTCCCACGGGGCCCGAAGTTCAGCACACACCCACCTGCCTCACTCTATGGCAGCAAATAAGGGAGACAAGAAGTAGAAGACCTACGACCAGCCTCACAGCAAAGCCTATCCTAGAATACCCTTTCCCATGCTGGGGCTAACACCTACCCCAGAGATAAGTCAAGTGCTAGGCATTCACTGGACAAGATGTATGAGATAGAAGCAGGGATGATCTGTCATTCCCAGTCCCCAGGGCTCACCTGTGTTGAGGCCACACAGGCCCAGTGGAAGCTGAGTGGCGTCTGGTTGCCATCCTCCAGATTAGGGTCATAGGACTTGCTCCCATCCAGCACAAGGTCCTGTGTATCTGACCACACGCGGTACGAGCCACCTTCAATGATGGGTACTAGGCGCTCAGCAGCCATTGTCACATTGGCCTGGATGCTCTGTGCCAATGGTGTATCCCCAAACGACACCACAAACACAAAGCAGTAGTGACCCACAGGCAGTGCCAACCGAGGCAATACCAGCTGAGGCCGGCTCACATCCACACCAGGCAGTATCATGTGGGCCATGCGCCCTGGCCGTTGGCAGCTGGCAGTGCGGTATACCTCCCAGCGGTACTCAGTCTGGTAGGTTACACAGTTGCGCAGATCAACATGAGCCTCCAGGTAGTTGCGCTGGGAACGGCGCATCAGCACCTGCAGGGGCAGTGCTACCTCCACCTCAGGTTCCCTGCAGGCCAACACCTGGACAGTCACTGTGGCCTGTGCCACAAAAAAGCTCACCAGATTGGTAGCGTTCACCTCCACGCGGTAGTCCCCAGGGTGCAGGTAGGAATGGTCAGCCCAGGACTCTTCTGTGTCCTGCACTGGAGTCCCATCTCCAAAGTCCCAGCTGTAGGCCACACGCCGGGGACTGGGGCTTGTGATAGCCTCAAAACGGGCGGAACGGTTGGTGAAGCAGCGGCCACTTTGCAGTGCCACATACTGGATGATGTCCTGGACCTCCACTACAAGTGTGAGGTTCACCCCACCCAGCTCATTGAAGGCACGCACATGGATCTCCAGTAATCCTGCAGCCACGGGAGTGTAGGTGACATCACGGCCCGATAGAATGACTAGCGAGTCCCCCTGAACCTTTTGCAAAGAGAAGTACCAAGCATAGGCAACTCGGGAACCCTGCTGCACCCGGGCTGTGAAGTTTTTCTCAGTGCCTGTGGCCATACCTGGCTCACAGCAGCTGGGTACCTGCAGCCCACCAACAGGCTCCAGCACTAAGATGTGAACCTGAGCCTGGGCATGGCTCACATGGTTCTCAGCTTGCACATTTACCATGTGGTCTCCAACCCAAAAGAAACTACGAGAGAAGTGGGGACCAGGGAGTACTTCAGGGATAGTTCCGCCCACCTGTAGGCAGAAAGTGACAGCAGAGCCAGCAGCTAGCAGGATCTGAAAGTGGACTGGTTGTCCAGGTGCCACCACCTTGCCACTGGCCCACAGTACCAGGCCCACAATGGGCTCCTCCACTGTGAGGTTGTATGTGGCTGAGACCCAGCTTACCGCATTGGAAGCATTAAGTTGCACAGAGAAGGTGCCAGTAGTGTGGAATCCCACAGCAATGTGCTGGTTGTGTTTGTTGCCACCCGGCACAGTCCAGCACCAACTCACATTGGTGCCTGTAGCCAGTTGACTCCAGAAGTGTACAGTGGAACCAGCTGCCACAAAGCCACTATCTGGCTCACCAGTTCTGATACTCAGGCCACCGACAGGCACCTGTATGGCCACCTCAATTGTGGAATTGACTAAACCCAGCTGGTTCCCGGCTGTGACTGTGACCACGTGCAGGCCAGCTGTGGTAAAGGCATGGGTAGTAGATGGCTTAGAGGTCTCCCAGCTCAGTCCATCCTCCAGGGACCAAGTGTAAACAATGCCACTGCCGCCTGACAGTTCAGCATCAAGGGTGAGGCTCACATTTACAGCAGCTGGATTGGGGGAGGCAGCCACAATCAGATATCCCACAGGTTCCACAAAGTCCACAGTGCGGTTGGCTGAGGCACTGCCCAACATGTTGGTGGCCCTAAGATGGATATGGTAGGTGCTAGCCTTAAATGCTGTAAGCAAAAAGCTCTTGCCACTGCCAGAGAGTATGGGGCCACCATCCTGCTGGGCAGTCCAGCTATAGGAGATGTTGGTGCCATCCCTGACTGCAGCCTGCAGCTGCAGTGTGTGGTTGGTGGGGAAGCAGCAGCTGCCACCACCCCCTACCACCTGCAGTCCCTCAATAAATTGTAGGACATAGATGAAGATGCTGTCCTGGACAGATCCTACCTCGTTCTCAGCAGTGACAATGATGTTGAAGGTACCCACTGAACGGAAGGTGTAGGAGATAGTGGGACCACCAGGGATGGGCGTACAGTGGTCGCAGAGCACCCAGGAATAGCGTACATCGGTGCCTACCTCCAGTGAGGTGCTGAAGCTCACACTGCCATTTAGAGGCACCACTGTACGGCTGGAATTGATGGTGAGCCCTCGAACGCGCAGCTTCACCGTCACATTGAGTTGGGCCTCACTGTGACTCACCTCATTCCAGCCAGCCACCCTGACAGTGAAGTCACCCGTGCTATTGTAGATATGGATGACCTCGGGGCCCTTATACTGGCTGCCATCCCCGAGTTCCCATAGGTAGGTGGCAGGGTGCCCATGGCCCATGGTAGAGAAAAGGTAAGGCTGCTGCAGCTCCAGCACATGGGAACCATTGATCCCAATACCAGTGATTAGCAAAGGCTCCTGTACCTCCACAAAAGCCGAATCATTGATGGCAGAGACATTATTGGACACGGTGACTGTCACCAAGTAGGAACCTGGTTTTTGGTAGATAAATGTCACTTCAGAGTCTCCAGTTTGGGTGGGGGTGGTGTCTTCTGTGCCAAAGTCCCAGGTATAGCGATAGGGGAATGGGGGCCAGGAGCAGGCCACCAGCCGGGCTTCATCCCCAAGTTGTACAAACTGCCTCTCAGGTTGCAGTGTAACGTTGCCTACCTCAGGCTCCACACAAACACTGGTAAAGTAGTGTGCCTTGTTCACATGGCTTGACAGGACCAAGGCCAGTGGGAATATACCACTCTGTGTGAAGTTGTGTGTCACCACGGGATACCCCTGAATAACTGTGTTGGAGGAGCCATCCCCAAATATCCAGTCAAAGAGGTAATGGGCAGGGTCTCCAGTGACATGGGCTGTAAGCTTGGCATTGGGCTGTGTGGGGATGCAGGTGGCAGGCTCTATTCGCAATACCTCTAGGACAAAGACCCACACATGCAAGCTTTGACTCAAGTGGCCCACAGGGCTGGTTGCACCCACTGTCACCGTACAGTTCTGTGCCTTCAGGTACACATGCTGCACTGTGGCCTCTGGGCCCATGAACACTGTGCCATCTCCCATGTCAAACGTCCATGTGATGTTGTCACCTGACTCCACAGCAGCGTCGACCACCATGGGGGCTCCCTGCTCTACAGATGGGTTCAAGGACACAGTTAGTCCATGGAGCTCCTGGAAGACATGGATGTCTGCATGTGCCACCACACTGCTCACCGTGTTGTTGACCTTCAAAACGATGTGGTAGGTGCCCGTCTTGGCATACGTATGGTTGAGTGCTGGTTGGTTCTGAGTTAGGACAGGGGAGCCATCCCCAAAGTCCCAAGTGTATAGCACACCACCAGATGAGGGCAGCGGGTATGGGGAAAAGGTTATGGGTTGGCCAGCCACCAGGACGCTGCTACTTATGCCCACAGCCACACTGGGAAGCACAGAGCGCACACTCACAGGTACTTGCTGAGTCAGGTTCTCGTAGGAGTTGGACACAAGGACAGTCAAGTTGTACTCACCTGTGGAGACAGGCCCAAGTGGGATTTCCTGTTCACAGAATCCCTACCTAGCACCTGGTAGCACTGCTTGGGAATAATCTTCCTTAAAGCTTCAACAGGTATGCTATGCCCTTGGACCTGGCCCATGTAGTCATACCCAACCCAGGCCAGGTACAGGGCAGAACATCTAGAGTCTGCAATGAGCAAGAAGATGGACAGGGCCATCTCTGAGCACAGCTGCATGAAGGTGAACATGGAAGTGAATGTCAGCACAGCAGGATTAAGTCTGTACCACATGCCAAAGACAGGGCACTAGTGTATGGGACTGCAGGAATTTTAAAAATAATTAGACATTAACCCCTTCTTCCTCCCCCCAAAAGGCTGAGAGTTTGAGATGAGAGGCCAATTTCTGACAAATTCAAATTGGAGAATTCAGGAACCCTGTCAACCTCCCACTCAATGCATTGGTGATCCCCTTCATCCAAGTTAGGACCTTAGGCCACCAATCCAGGCTGGGTCAGAGTAGAGGTGATAAGGCTCTCCCCACCCCAGGAGTGGGCTTCCCAAGCTCAGGGTCTGCAACGTAGCAGCTCTGCCCCTCACCTGGAGCAGTGTAAACATGTGTGGTGTTGTGTTCCACCAGCACCTGGGCTACTGTGGGGTCTGGAACCTGGAAGGACTCGTCATATGGAGGCTTGAACTGGCTGAGCACCTGCTCCCCATCCCCAAAGGTCCACCTGCCAGGGTAACAGGCAGGCAGTGAGCAGGCAAGATGAGTAGGTAGGGTGCCCCTTGGTTCTGAATGCAACTTCTTGTACAGTTACTCCTTCCTAGCTCCTGGGTTCAACCTACTACCTAAGTCTGCTACACAAGGGCCTCTGCCCCTCACATGGTCCTACCCACCAGCATGACCAATAGAGGAAACTGGGTCAGAGAAGCAGCTCTCTGAACCAGGATCCCAGGACCAAAGCTAGAGAGGCAGCCCCCACCCAGGCCCTGACCAGCTAACCACTTCCCCATCTAGGTCCAGAAGTACTTACAGAAAGGCCACCTCCACAGCTGAGTCCACCAGCACACCACCCATCAGTACCAGTGTGGCATTGGGGGACAGCACAGATGGCACTGCAGAAACCCATAGCCCCCGCATCCTATTCATCCGTTCCACAGTGACGTTGTAGTTCACAGTGACATTGCTCACATGGTTAGAGGCTGTTAGCTAAGGAGACAGGCATTAGTGGGTATGGGTCCCAGAGGCACTGAGGATAGACCAATGGGTGAAAGGCCCTGAGCCCCAACTCAGCAGCCTCCCACACTCACCCACAGTTGTGGCCAGGTCCTCAGGGGCAAAGCAAAGCAGAACAGAAGGCAAAAGTGAGCACCCAGCTATCCCAGAACCCTGAACCCCCCCTCCACTGGCCCCCACCTACCGAGAGCTTAAAGATGGCAGCACTCTGGTAGATTACATTAAAGACAGCATTGTGGAAGGTCAGGGATTGCTTGTCATCAATGGTCCACCGGAAGGCCACATCTGAGCCAGCTTCTGCCACAGCATTATACCGCTATGGGAAAGACATGACATTGGGCCAAGGCTATGATTCTGCTTCAGCCTGCGCTGACTGCCCCCAGGCCCCATCTACCCACATGGACATGCCTCCTTCAGGGCTGCTAGGGAATTCTGTACATGGTACACAAAGGCACAAGGGGGTCAACCAGCTGAGCCTTAACTGCAAGACACTCATGTGTAGGAGCACAAAGAAGTGCCCAGGGCCATCTTGGCTTAGAAGCTACATGGTACAGTAGCCAAGCTTGGGTAGCCAACCACTGAGGGCCAGGTTCAAGGCCACCTCTCTAATCTCCAGCCATGTGGCTTTGATTTCACCTTGACCTCTTTTTGCCTCAGTTTCTGCATCTTTTTTTTTTTTTTCTTTTTTTGTCTTTTTGAGACAGGGTCTCCCTGTAGCCCCAGCTGTCCTGGAACTCACTATGTAGACCAGGCTAGCCTTGAACTCACAAAGATCCGCCTGCCTCTGCCTTCCAAGTGCTGGGATTAAAAGCATGCACCACCACGCCCGGCCTGGTTTCTGCATCTTTAAAGTGAACCTAGCATCAGCAATAAAGAGTCCCTCTGACCACTCAGTCCTCACAATCTCCCTTCTTAGCTGGATAGCCTTTGGAGAAGCACAGGAGTCTCAATGGGCCTCAAGTCTTATATGTTGACCTAGGTTAGCAGACAGAACAGGTATGTCCAAGGGAAGCCAGAAGACACAACTAGACAGACAAGTCATGGATTGACAGAAATGACCTGTTCAATGAACCCTAGTGTAGGGGTGGGCATGCTCAAGATGAGGACAGCACTATTCCCCTGGCCAATGGTTACCCACTGAGGCTTCAGATTCCACTTCAACAGGCACATGCATCAGGTAACTCTGCAAGTACCACAGACAACTCAGAAATACACTGGGACTCACAGAGGCTCAGGAAGGTTGGGAGGGCAAGTGTGACAAAGTGTTTTCATGAAACCTGAGAGTAGAAAAAGGGATCTACAGAGGAGCTGCTCCAGCAGTGACCTTTAGTAACTTAGAAATCACTAAGTGAAGCTGGGGTATAGCTCACAGTGGTAGAACTTGCCTAGCATGCTGAGTCTCTGGGTTCTATCCCTAACATCACTAAGGAAGAATATTGTTCGATAGCTGAGGGGTCCTCAACAGGTACTGCTGAAAACCACATAATAGACACTGTTTTCCTTGATGGGCAGCTGATGGGCTTACTCACTGGGAGAAGTCTCCTTGTTCTTATCATCTGGGGGTAGGGATAAGTCACAGGACATACTTACCACCAGGATGCCCTGCAGCACACGGGCCTCAGGGCTTGGCATGGCACGGAGGCCACAGATGGGCTCCTCAGCCGTCACCTTCAGGCTGAGATTGGCCTGGCTGGCTCCATTCTGTGCCACAATCTCCACTGTATGCTTCCCCTCCCTGAGCATGGGCAGCAACAGCACCGAGAACAGGGTGCCATTGGTCTCTTCAGTGCAGTCTAGCTTGAGAATATCCACTACAGGAGGACAGGCAGCTTCAAAGGGAGCACTAATGTTGCCCCCAGACCAATGAGCCATGGCGGTGGCATTGGCACCAGAGTCCAACTGAAGCACCAAGATGGAGCCGTTGGTTGGCACATAAAGGTGGCCCTCAAGGGGAACAGGGTAGATGACTCGTAGCCCAGCCACTGGGGAGACCACATTGAAGCTGCAGGACAGGTTGTACCTGGACACACTGTTGCTCACTGTGGCTTGGACTTCATAGCGTCCAGAATGCTGCAGTCCAGGGTTGGGCCTCAGACCCAGGAGGGGACTAAACTGCTCTGTAGCCAAGAGCAGCTGCAGAGAGCAGGCAGGGCCAATCCAAGCCTCCTCCAGCTGGGTAGGCAAGTGAATGGGCCAATCTGAGGCATTAGTGGAGAGGTACAGGGCAAGGCCAGGGCAGCTGGAAGCCAGGGGACAGTGTAGAAGAGCACCTGGGCCAGCATCATGCTGTAAGCCAACAAGGTCACCAGGGAGCACAGGGATATCCTGGCCATGGAAGGTGACCTATGGAAAAGGGAGGTAAGAACTGTGTCATTTAAAAGGCCTCATAAAGTCTCAGGTCAGGTCTCAGCACTGTCAATGGTGCTTCATGGAGTTCCTGAGTACTCCTGACTGGGCCAAACAGGACCCTGCCAAGACAGGGAACATGCACAGGGACAATGTGGCAGAGGTGGCTGCCCCAGGCAGAAAGAACAATCCCCCTTAGACACAAGAACAGAGCCACTGAAAGGGAGACATTAGAGCAGGGCACAGGCAAGGCCATGGGAATAGGGCTGCTGGACATTCAGATGAGCCTGCATGCTATCGGGTAAGATACCAGGAGCTTTGATTTCTAGGGGAAAGTGATCTCAGGAGCAGTTTAGAGGTATACAGACCCACATCAGGACACATACCAAGTACTGTGTAGGGGGCCCTGCAGGCACAGAGAAGAGAAATTCCTTCCATAGTGTGTAGCTGGCCCTGGGAAGCCGTGGCCCTGACGTGGACCCATTGGTGCAGTCATGAGACTGGCATGAGACATCAAATGGCACACAGACATTGACTCCAGGACACCAGTGTCCCTTGGGTACACACTTGGGGGCCAACTCAGTTCTGTTGTCAGGCTTACTGCTGTCTTCTGTGGCCGCTGCTGGAATAAGAAGGATATCAGGGGCCTGATGCACTAACAGGCCACTATAAGGGGTACCCCACTTCCCCACTACAAAACTAGACCAGGCTGAGCAGTTCCTTAGTATTCACCACCACTCCCCTTCCATTAGGGCATGCCCACCCAGGCAGGCCCCACCCAAACTATCCTAGGAACAAGGGAGCAGGAGCTGGAAACTCTGCAGAACCCATCAGTCCACCCTGAGGATGGGACCCCAATTACCATCCCATCGCAGAGCCCTACCTGCTCCTCCTGATGGTCGGTACACTTGTAGCCGCAGTTGGGCAGGTTCTCCAAGCTCCTGGGTCTCAAACTTGGCTGCAGTGAGAAAGGCTTCACGGCTGGGACTCAGGCCAGGGAATATCATTACCTGAAGGGGATGGGGTGGCCTCAGCTCCAAAGACTCTACCCCCAAGGTATAAACACGGCCCTCTTGAGACCACAATGAACCTTATTTCATGTCACTAGGATGAAATATCAGATCAAAATCATCTCTGAGCAACAGGGGGGCTGAGGCAGGAAAATCATGAGTTCAAGGCCTCCCTGGGCTACATATAAGACCTCATCTTTTTTGTGTGTGTGTGTGTGTGTTGTCTTTTTGAGACAGGGTCTCCCTGTAGCTCCAGCTGGCCTGGAACTTAGTATGTAGACCAGGCTGTCCTTGAACTCACAGATATCTGCCTGCCTCTGCCTCCTGAGTGCTGGGATTAAAGGGGTGTACCACCATGCCCAGCTATAAGACCTCATCTTTAAAAAATAAAGTCAGGGCTAGAGAAATGGTTCAGCAGTTAAGAGCACTGACTGCTCTTGCAGAGGACCCATGTTCAATTCCCAGCACTCACATGGCAGCTATGAACCATCCTTAACTCCAGTTCCAGGGGAATCCAAAGCCCTCTTCTGATCTCCGCGGCATTGCACAACATGGGTGCACTCACATTGATGCAAGCAATATACTCATACCCATAAAATAAAAATAATAAATAAAAAGCCGGATGTGGTGGCGCATGCCTTTAATCCCAGCACTCGGGAGGCAGAGGCAGGCAGATCTCTGTGAGTTCAAGGCCAGCCTGGTCTACATAGTGAGTTCCAGGACAGCTGGGGGTACAGGGAGACCCTGTCTCAAAAACAGCAAAAAAAAAAAATAAAAATAAATAAATAAATAAATAAATAAATAAATAAAATAAAAAGAAAATCAAGGGGCTAGAGAGATGGCTCAGCAGGTTAACAGCACTGGCTATTCTTACAGAAGACCCGGGCTCAAATCCCAGGTACCTACATGGAGGCTAAAAACCATCCATAACTCCAGTTCCAGGGGACCCAACGCCCTCTTCTGTCCTCTGAAGACACTGCATGACATGGGTGTAAACACATACAGGCATAACACTCATATACATAAAAATATATATATAAGTAAGCCAGGAGTAGCTTGCAGGTCCACTAGGGCTACAGGGAGACTGTCTCAAAAAAAAAAAAAAAAGTATAGAGATAGTTCAGCGTTTAATGCTCTTTCAGAGGACCTGGATTTGATTCCCAGCATCTACAATGCAGCTAGCTACCATCTGTAATTCCAGTTCCAGGGTATTCAATGTCTTCTGGCCTCTGCAGTCACTGCACATGGGTACACTCACATAAAAAAAGTTAAATAAATAAGTTCTTTTTTTGTTTTTGTCTTTTTGAAGCAGGATCTCCCTGTAGCCCCAGCTATCCTGGAACTCACTATGTAGACCAGGCTGGCCTTGAACTCACAGAGATCTGCCTGCCTCTGCCTCCGAAGTGCTGGGACTACAGGCATGTGCCACCATGCCCGGCTCATAAATAAGTTCTTTTAAAAAAAAAATTAGGGACTGAAGAGATGGCTCAGTGGTTAAGAGAACTGACTGTTCTTGCAGAGGACCTGGGTTTGGTTCCCAGTATCCATCTGACACCCTCTTCTGACCTCCATGGGCACTGCATGACATGACTGCACTTACAAACATGGAGATACTACACTCATACACATTAAAAAGTAATGAATGGGGGCTGGAGAGATGGCTCAGTGGTTAGGAGCACTGACTGCTCTTGCAGAAGACCTGGGTTTGATTCCCAGCACCCACATGGCGGCTACAAACCATCTTTAACTCCAGTTCCAGGGGAATCCAAAATCCTCTCTGACCTCCACGGCACTGCACAACATGAGTGCACTTACTTACATGCAGGCAATACACTCATACACATAAAATAAAAATAATAAAATGCTTTTAAAAAGTAATGAATAAATAGGCTGGGCGTGATGGCTCACGCCTTTAATTCCAGCACTCGGGAGGCAGAGGTAAGCAAATCTCTGAGTTCGAGGCCAGCCTGGTCTGTTAGTGAGTTCCAGGACAGCTGGGGCTACAGGGAGACCCTGTCTCAAAAAGACCAAAAAAAAAATTGTATGTATATATATATAACAATTTATTTATTCATTACTTAAGACCAAAATATATATATATACACACACACAATTTATTTATTCATTACTTTTTTTTTTTGTCTTTTTGAGACAGGGTCTCCCTGTAGCCCCAGCTGACCTGGAATTCACTATGTAGACCAGGCTAGCCTCGAACTCACAGAGATTTGCTTACCTCTGCCTCCCGAGTGCTGGAATTAAAGGCGTGCGCCACCACACCCGGCTAAATTTAATTAAAAAAAAAAAATTAAATCACCAGAGAAGGGTTCAGGAGAAGCAATTTTTCTAAATGAGGGACTAGATGCTTGCCATCTCTGTGCTCTGAGGATTTTTCAAACTCCCACCCAGGGTATATTCAACAATTTTAACAAGTTCTACCAAAATCAACATTTTTTAAGGGGTGGGGTACTAGGGATTGAACCCAGAGCCTCACCAATGCTAGGAAACTAATCTACTACCAAGCCACAGCACCAGCCCCCAATTTAATTTTTAGAGACACAGCAGTAGAGTAATGCAAGACCTCTGGAGCTACAGAACAGTTTCTTGACCATGGAGAGTCTGGCCTACCTCCACAGGCTTCTGGGGGCTCAGAAGGACTTCCTGCGGTGCCAGGGGATGCAGTGGTCCTGGCAGACCCCTACCAGGCACTCCCACGAGGATGTTCTCAGCATCCCACACAGGGCCTGGGGGTAGTGTGCAATGAGATGCCAAGGCCAGGAGAGGGACAGTAAGGAAACATCCAGGCTGGAACTGGACATGGGGCCAAGCCACCCAGCTACCTCCCCCAATTCCCTCCATCTTTGTTTCTGCTAGTTCAGCCCCAACCCAGTCACAAGAATAAGCATTCAGCAAATATATGGCTAACACTAAGCACAAGAAGACAAACAGAGAAAAAGGGCAGTCCCCACCACCCAGCAGCCCATACCTCCAGGCCGCAGTTCACAGACATAGCTATGCGGCGCCGAACACAGGTCTGTGTTGCACTGCCCAGCAGGCCCCAGCCGCACACAGTGCTCTGCTGTGGCTGGGTGTGGCTCCCCAGGCAGCCAGTTCTGGCAGCTCTCCAGACTGAAAGCCTCACCCTGGGGAGTCGGACCTGTTTCTGCCCCCTCCACAGATGAGAAGCCAATCCATACATCCAGGCTCCTGTGGATTCAAGGCAGACTCAAGGGAGGGCCAGGCACTCAAGGGGTAACTCTGTCTTCCCTCTGGGGGCATGCTTCTCACAACACCCTGGTAGATGGACCCTATCACATTCATTTTCCAAGTGGCAAAACCAAGCCTCAGAGATATGACCCAGCAAGGAAGGCCCACAAACCTAGGCCCACAGCAGCATCCACCCAGAAGCATGTCCATGGAGCCAGTTCCTCTTGGGGCCCCACCTCAGATCTGAGCAAGGACAAGTCACCATACCTCACCCTGCAGGGAGGCTCCAGGTGCCACATCTGAGGACCAAGACTGTCTCACATTGTACTCCCAGGGGTACTACCTGACAGCTTTACCAAGGCAGGGCTTAGAGATCTATGGCCCAGCTTAGGCACAGGTATACGCTTAGATGTGAGCATGAGCCTGGACTCACAGTAGGGCTCTGTTTCCATGTAAGTACACTGTCATTCATTAACTGGATGATCTTAGAGAAGAGCCTTAACCACTCTGGGCCTCGATTTCCCCTTCTTGACCCAGGGAATGTGAAAGACACGATCAGCCACCTATTAGACAGAAGTCTCTACCCTACCCATGAAATAGACCCCCCCAACAAGAGAGGTGGAGTCTATCCTCATCCTCTACCCCAAACACTGAGGACTCCTGAACAAGGGTCTGGCCCACTGTACAAGTCCCTACAAGCCTGGGAAAGGCACAGGAGTCCAATATGCTTTCCACAGATAGGTAGCATGCAGTAATCCTGTCCTTTACCAGGAAGGGAATGAGCATGGGAACATGAGAAGCAGGAATTACAGCTTCAGTGGTCACTGAGAACCAGCCCTGTAAGCAGGATCCACATCCCTCTCCCATAGGGAAGACTGGAGGCCTGGACCCAACTCTGACCTGTGACATATCCCAAAAGTGTTTAGAGACACTTCCTCCACCCACATCCATTTCTACACCTGCAGAGATGCCAGGAATGGCCACCAGTGCGGTAGGACACAGATGTCCAGCTATCACCAGCTCTCCTCCTAAGCCTCCACAGGGCTTGGGCTACACCAAGCATCCTGACCAATCCCTATCTACTTTGATCTTTATAGGGTTTGAGGGGCAGGCACCTGGTAACTTGGGAGACCAAGAAGTGTTGGATGGCAGGATTGTCCACCATGGCCAGAGCAGCCCCAGCCCAGGTCCGGCATTGTTCCTGTGCCTGCAGCCAGGATGCCTTCTCCGCCACTAGGCGATAGCAGTGCCCATTCCCAGGAAAGATCTCTGTGTCCGAGGGGCAGAGCGGGTGCACCACTGGGGGATGGATGATGGGCAAATAAGACATCAAGGTATGCCTAAGGCTAGAGTGCCAAGCTCTGCCCTACCCCAGCTAAGAGGGAAGGGAGAGAAGGAGGGGGTGACCCAGGGCTCAGTGGGCTAGGCACCTTGGGTGGACTCCCTGTCCAGGGCCAGGATGCTATAGGTGACCTCAAGGGCTGAGCCTCCACGGTGCCGGATGCTGAGTTCAAGGCTCTCATCACTGTGCACGAAGGATGGGCATACGAGCTCCAGGGCAGCAGGTACCACCTCTACTTGTGCCTCTGTCTCCAGCAGAGCTGAACCAACCCCCAAGGCCATCACAGCTGTCACGTGATAGTGCCCAGGTAGCAGAAAGGAGTGGGTGATAGTGGGGCCAGCCATGTCCACCTCAGGGGAGCCATCACCAAAGTCCCAGCGTGTGGAGCTGATGGGCAGGGGAGCAGTGATGTAGAAGTCTGCTGGCCGGCCAGAGGCCAGGGGTCCATGGGGCCCCACTAGGGTGGCCCCTGGGGAAGCAGGGAAGACATGCTGGAGCAGGGTAGGGCCCCCACAGGCAGAGGTAGGGGGTAGCGTGATGCTGGAACACCAGGACAAGCAGGCCACAGAAGTGTTGGAGAGCTGGCCTGATCCACACAGGCACCAGCCCTGCTCTGAGAGGGCAGCGAGGCCCTCACCAACTGAGAAGCAGAAGGCACTGCAGGCCTCAGGCTCCAGTGGTCCCACATGGGCAGAGAAGGCCACCACTGCCACAGCACCTGAGCTGTTATCAGGGAGGCAGGCAATATACTCCTCACCTGGAAGAGACAGACATGCTGGTCCCAGGGGCCTACCTTCTCCTAGCAGCACTCTGTTCTCTCATGTACTCTTCTTAGACCCCAGGTCAGAACCCTCTCACTTTCAGAAAGTCCTTCTAGACCCTATCTGGCCTTTGTGTCCCCATGTATCCCTTTCCCTGGCCCTCATCTGCCACCCCACCAGGTTGAGGGCTCTATTCTGCCTGGGTCCTGCCCAGCAGGGAAGCACAATGTCATCCCTATCATCTTGCTCCACACGCCCTGCACTCACCACAGGTGCTGTCCAACAAAGGTATGCTGAGAAGGGGCTGGCCGGCCAATGGGATTGGCCCTCTGCATGTGGTTGCCTCAGACTGTATCACACGAACCTGTTGTTCCTCTACCCAGGGTGGCAGCCACGCCAGATCACAGTTGCATTCAAATGGATTCCCACTCAGGTTTCTGCAAGGGAAGGGTGGGTATGGGGCACCAGGCTAGCAAGGGCCACCATGACAGATTAGCTTCCCACTGCCCACAGCTCTTGAAACTGGGAGGGTCCAGGGTCCAGGGCAGGAGGACAGAGATGTTGGAGACAGAGTCCAGCTACTGATACCCACTAAAAACAGAGCAACTTACATTTCACTTAAATTAAATAAATTAGCAAATACTCCTTCTTCTAATGTAGAAATCCTATTGTTGCTTATATCCCTGTAAGAAAGAAAGATTGGGCAGAGTGTGACCCTTTGGTGACAGGCAACTCTTCCTGCCCATCCTGAGTAAACCCTAGTGGGGCAGGTACAGCAGGGAGGAGACACTCACAGCTCTACCAGTGCTGAGAGGTTCACCAGGAGCCTGACGTCCAGCGTCTGGAGCAGGTTGTGGGACAGGTCTCTGAGGAACAAGTAGCTGTGGTTCAGAATAGGAGCCCTAGGCTGGCTATGAGGCCAACCCTGGTTCCCATCAGGAGCTTACCAGCAAACAAAGCTACAGCCTCCCACCCTACAAGCCCTCCATTCCCAGGGATCACAAGAGGTCTTTTTCTCATGAAAGGTATGAACACTCATCTGAGGAAGCTGAGATAAAAGAGCTGGGGCCCTCCCTCAGCACTCTGCAACTATCTCAGCCTTGCCACACAGCAGGGCTACACAGAATCACTGACCCTGAGCACCTGGACAGGCACTATTTCATGTGGCCCCTGTAGTTCCTCCCCCAAAGGAGAGGCTTGGGCTGCCTCCAGCTCAACAGAGGGACCCCATAACACCAAGGTCTGGCTCCCCACACCCCCTGGGGCTCAGGGTTCACCAGGGCTGAGCTGAGGGACCCAGCTAATAGTAGAAGTAGGTTTGAAAGATGTTCCCAAGATGCAGTGGGGTCAAAAAATGAGATAAATGAGGAGGAACCCTGATGGGTGACCCCATACCACAGGGATGGTGATGGCATACAATAAATCTCCCCAAACAGGCAATCGAAAACTCTGAATTCAGGAATGAGGGAATGCTTAGCATTGTTAGAGTGCTTGCCACACAAGCAAGAGGCCTAGAGTTAGGACACCCAGAATCCACAAAAATGCTGGCTAACAAGACTAGCTATACCTGCAAGTTCTAAGTTTGATTGAGAGACTCTGTCTAAAAAGATAAAGTGGAAGAGCAATCAAGAAAGATTCTCAACAGCAACTTCGGACATTTCTACATGCACCCTTACACACATGTACACACATGTTCACCTACACACATACAGACATGCATACAAACATACATACCATATACACACATACACATGAAAAGAAGGAAAGAAAAACCTGACTGCACCAAAGAGATGATATGAAGGCTCATCTAGCGGGCACCAGTGAGAAGAATCAAGAAATATGGAAATGTGGGCTGGGGAGATAGCACAATTGGTAAAGTGCTTGCTATGCAAGCATGAGGACCTGAGATTGACCACTCAGAATCCATTTAAAAAGCCAGGAGTGGCAGTGCACACTTGTAACACAGCACTAGGGAGGTGAAGACAGGTGGACCCGAGTTACTAGCTCAGCAGCCCAGTCTAATTCAGCAAGCTCCAGACCAATGAGAAACTGTCTCAAAATACAAATAGACGGTGGTCCTAAGGAGTGACAACCAAGGTTATCTTCCAACCTACACAACACACACACACACACACACGCACACACACACGCACACACGCACGCATGCACGTGCGAAATGTGGGAACATGAATGTGTGCTAATTTTTCATTATGTCCATTAATTGGAATTGGAGTGGATAAACTGACAGAAAGGCAGGAGTCACTGAAAAGCACTGACCTGTGAGAACATCAGGAGGGAAACAGGATGAGAACACAGTACAAGCACCAGAGTCAGAGCCTAGCCCTGTAACTCAAGTCATGTGTAACCTGTGACAAAGCCAGAACAAACTACCAACTAGGGGTGGTCATGTGTTTGCAAAGCATGAACCTGTGTAATCACAAAAACAAAGCAGCAAGACAAGAGATGTGGCTGGGCCTGGTGGCACACACACTTGGCAGCTGAAGCAGGAGGATCATCACAATTTCCAGAGCAGCCAAGGCTACATAGTGAGATTACCATCTCAAAACTAAAAACCAGGACGAGAGAGATGGCTCAGCAGTTAAAAGCACTGGCTGCTCCAACAGAGGACTAGGTTAGGTTCCCATCACCCACATGGTGGTTCACATTGATCCCTAACTCCAATTTCAGGGGATTCATTGCCCTCTTCTGGCCTCTCCAGACATTGCAAGCAACTTAAATATATGCAAGCAAAATACTCATACCCATAAATAAAATATTAATTTTTTGGTCTTTTTTGAGACACTGTCTCCCTATTGCCCCAGCTTGTCTGAACTTGCAATGTAGACCAGGCTGGCCTTGAACTCACAGAGCTCTGCCTGCCTCTGCCTCCTGAGTGCTGGGATTAAAGGCATACGCCACCAGGCCCAGCAAATACTAATTTTTTTTAAAAGCTAAAAACCAACAGACCCAACTACATCCCCAAATAAACAACCTTCACACAAAAGATCATGGATAAAATAAAAAAGCAAACTACAGTCTGGAATTGTTGCTACAGCATACATCTTAAGGGTCGGCTGTTTAGAAGGCTGATGCAGGGGGATATAGTAAGCCCAGGAAGGCGTTCTAGGCCAGTTTGTGCAATACAGTGAGATTCCTCAAAGCAACAACAACCAAAACCTAGGCTTAGAAAAGTACTAGTAATTCAGATGACCCATTAAATACAGGCCAAATGCACCCTTGATGTAAACCCTGTGAATAAATTATTCAGCAAAAGCCAAAGAATCCCTTGGGCTAGGGATGTAGCGCAGTGGTGGAGCACTTGCCTGTCAGGTTTGCTAGGTTCCATCTCCAGTACCACTATCACCAAAAAAAAAAAAAAAAGGCTCCAATCAAAAGGAAAAAAGGAGC